GTATCATGTCATGCCGGGAGCATGCAGCAGAGCCAGAAGAGAGGTGGGGTCTCCAGATACCTGCTCCACCCCCAGTCTCCACCACCAGCCAGCCCCCCCCAGGCTGACAGCTTCAGGGTCTCCTCTTTGTGCTTTAATTATACCTTCACCTCCCACTCTGGTCCTTTTGTTTTGCTAATTGAAGGCCAGGGTGGGAGGCTCTTTATTGTGTCAGTTAGACCTGCCCCCTGTTTTGGAGCTTTAGGACCTGGCTGGGTTTGATGAGCGGCTCTTTGCCTTTTACAACCTGCAGGTGTTTGGGGCGAGATAAAAGCCAAGCGAGATTTCCCAGCATGAGCTATCAAAGCAGAGACTCGCTCTTGATGTCCTCACCGTGTGTGGCAGCAATTATGAGGAACAACTCCAAATAATAGGTCCTAACACGTCCCCGGGCAGGCACCGGTGTTAACCGTTGCTGATCTGGGATGGCCTCAGTTGGGGACTTGGTGAGTGCGGTGGTATCGAGGGCTTGTCCAGAAGCAGCTGGGCATTGAAGAGCAAAAGTCCAGTGTCCAAAGGCCACGTTAGATGCCCAAATGCCTTTTGAAGATGGGACGGAGCAGGGATTTGAGAGCCGTCTTTGAATGCACAAAGGATGGTTGTAAAGAGGATGGGGGGAGATTGGTCTCTGCAGCTGCTGGGGACAGGGCAAGGAGGAACAGCATTAAATCACAGCACAGGAAGATTTAGGCTGGGGTTTTAGGAAGACGTTCCTCATTCTGCAGGTGGTTCAGCATCATTGCAGGCCTGCGGAGAGGTCATGGAGCTCTGGGAAATCAGACTCCAGCTCCTAAATCACTGAGGCTATGCGGAAAGTGTGGTCCTTGAATTGGTGAGCTGGAGAAGCAGGACTCTCGGGGAACGCTGCCTGCTGCCTCGCTTGTGCCCCATCGTGCAGCGACTGAGCACGCGCTGTCGGCTCTGGCCCAAGTACGGCCTGCCCAGGCCTGCGCGCAGCGCTGGGGAGCTGCGTTCTCCTCCACCCCGCCCAGCACACCTCTGTGACAAGCTGTACTGGGATCCCGGGCCACGGCCGGGTGCTTCCCTTTCCCTAATGTCCCCAGAAGAACCAGCGGCATGGGGCAGCCAGGTGGATGCAGAAGGCAGCACCGCAGGGCACGACTCGGGTGGTGGGCGGGTGGCAGGCGAGAGCCGGGCGGCCACTGGACTCGCTACTGCCTGAGGCTGCAGCACCAGCGCCCGGGGAGCCCGCCGCGGGGGGACCTTATGGAGCGGCAGTCCTGCGGCTTGCTGCGGCCTGTAGCTGTCCAGATCCTCCCCAGAGCACCGCAGTCCCGGGCGCCATCTGCACCTCCCAGGCAGAGGCAGGCGGCGCGAAGGCCCTCGGGCAGGCGTCCCACGAATGGACGGGTACGTTGGCACACCCAGAGAGGAGGTGGGAGCGTGGGCTCCTGGGCAAAGCTGGGGGCCAGGGGCAAATGCTGCATGCGCAGCAGTCCCCAGGGCACGTCCCTGGGGGGTTTAACCCAGGCTGCCAGGATGGCTCATACGCGGCGTCCTGTTGCGAGATGGCTGCAGGTTGGCCCCCGAGCCAGGACAGGCCTTCGAGGCCCCGCTCCGTGCCGCCGTCTCGTCTGCGCCAGCCTGCAAGGCCAAGCCGGTCTGCATTCAGGGCCATTGGGCTTGGTCCCGGCCCCCACAACTCCCGGGTTTGCTCCCGCAGCCGCTTTCTCGCAGCCTTGGATGCGGGTTTGGGCCGGCTGCGGCCGGGGGGCATCTCCTGCACGGGGCTGGGGCAGGAGGGCACCAGAGGCGGGAGAGGGGTGTGAGTCCTGCACTTCCTGCCCTAGGCAGGGTGCGGTGCCAGGCGCGTGTCCTCGCCACTGGGCTGTCGCCCCCGGGCCAGCACCGCGGCTCCTTGCCCTGGCCGGCCGGGCTCGCTCGGGATCTGGGCGGCCAAGAGTTGGAGAAGAGCTGGCCGAGCGGCGCGG